TCGTAAATTCTAGAAAACATGTAAGTCATAAGAAATACTAATTTTCTTCCAAAAAATGGGAGTAAAGGAACATTTTGTAACTTATTCTAGGGAGCAACATAGTTCTCATACCAAAACAAGATACAGAAATACTGCAGACCAATTTCTCTCAGGATCATAGTTTCAAAACTTTAACACAACATTATTAAGCTAATCCAACTGTATACAAAAAGGTAGTCAAGTGGGATTTATTCAGATTTATATATGCAAAGCTCGTCCACCATTTAGAAATCAATTCAATATCAGATTAGAAGAAGTTGTAGCTAATACAAAAAGAGAAGAAAGAAAAGAAAATAGGTACAGAATGGAAAATAAAGAAATAACAGTTTTGATGAAGATATTGTCTGTGGAGAAAAAGTAAGAAAAAACACTTATGGAAATAATAAGTTATTCTAGCAACACTTAGTGATAGCAGGTTTTATTTAAAAATCTAGTTATAGCTCTTGGACCCCAAACTGATGGCTGGGAGGCCAGCATGAGACTTTTCCAGACATCCTGAATGTGGGTGTCAGTGAGGAGGCCTAGGAGATCTGTGGGGCCTTGAGTAGTAATTATCCCTGACATATAAATGGACTTTGGGTGCCCATCCCACAGTGAGGGATGCTCTCAAAGCCTGGGCTCTTGAGGGAGGGCCTAGGCCCTGCCCTGAATGAAATGGCAGACTCTGGAGATCCTCCATGGAGGGCCTCACACTCCCTGGGGATCCCAGTAGGGATTGGGTGGGGGGGCAGTAGGGCCTAGTGGGGGGGCAGGGGAGGAGGGGAAGGAGAGGGAGCTGGGGTTGACATATGAAGCAAGCTTGTTTCTAATTTAAATTTTTAAAAAAAGAAATGTAAAAAATCTAGTTTTATATATATGTAAAATCAATAAACAATTGGAATTTGAAGTATACCATTTATGCTAGCATAAACATTGAAATACTTAAGAATAATCTAACAAAATACACATGGAAATACCTGTGTTAGGAAAACTATGAAACCATAAGGAAGGACATTTTTCAAAAAAACATAAACAAATAGAAAGATGCTGTTGTATAGTGGTTTCCTCTGAACTGAAACATTCCCACCACAGGGAAGGGGCTGGACTCAAGAGACTCCAGGTAAACAAAAGGTCACATGTCCTAGAAAGTGGAAATTTGCAAGAATCTAGAAGCCACCTCCCAGCCTTATAATATCCATGAGCAGTTGCCCTGTGACCAGCTGAGCTGAACAGAGACATTTCTTCCTCCTGGCCAGGTGCCTGCATGCATGACAACTTTCATGAGTCACCAGCAGCAATGTCACAGTCCTTCTAGGATATAGCTACATTTTGAATCAACACTTCCGTTTGTTAGTTCTCAGCCATATTGCTGCTATTAATCCTTGTAAAAACTCTTAAATTCACCAACTGGACTTAGGTTCAATCATTACGTCAGTCTCTGGTGTTTTACTTTGTGAGGATTGTATGTTATGTCTCCCCCTCCATATAATAGATAGTCATGAGTAGAAAGAATATCACTGGTTTGTCCCAAGATGACCCATATTTCAATAAGAAACCGTAATTGCAATTTTATAAACATATTTTATGGATGTCAACAAAGTGACTGACATTTTTATGATAATAAGTAAGACCTGGAACAGCCAAACGAATATAGAGGAATAAAGCAAGAATACTATGAGCAAACTAGCTTTCTTCAAGGTTTAACATAAAATTGCAATAACTAAAACAGGATTATGTTGGTGAAAAACACAGACAGCTAGATCAATACAATAGACTAAAGCTCAGAAATAGATCCATGCAAATAACATAGAGTTATTATTTATCATTGTATTCTACATAACTGTCGAATTATGAAGTAATCAAGATAACATTTGATGGTAAATGGATTAATTGTTCATCCACATCACTTAGGGGAAAAAAGAAATGAACTCTCATATCTTCAGTGAATACTGAGGAACTTTAAATGTGTATCCATTTGTGAAGAAAGCTAGCCTTTAAGGATTATTCACTACACAACTCCTAACTATATGTCATTACAGGATGGGCAATGCTAGGAATAGTGAATAGCACCAGTGCTTGCTAAATTTAGTCACAGGGATGGTGGATGAGTAAATGGGGGAAAGACTATAAAGATATGCAAGAATTAAGTCTAGAAGAAGAAACAAAAGATGAGAATTTAGATGATTTTAAATACATAGAGAAGTTTTCTTTAATTCCAGAAAGGTGGCATCCCCAAATATGGCTATACTGTGATCAGGGCACAGGACTCAAAAACACAAGGGCCAGAGTTCAGGAGCATATAGATTACATGCGTAAGCTGGGGATTTTACATCTAAGGATGGAGAAGAAAAAATCCACAGAAATTGTAAAAAATAACACTATGAAGCTTACACTATGAAGTTCAATGACCAGCACAACATCAACGTTTATTCATCAACTATAACAACTGTTCAGTACAAATATAAGACATTGTGGGAAATAGTCTGAGGAGTGTAGAGGAACTTTTGGTACTTTTCCTTGAAATTTTATAAGTCAAACATAATTGTAGATGCATATGGAAAACAGTTCCAATTTTCTAAGAGACAGATAGAATTCACTTTTCAAATATGACAGTTTAAAATAAAAGGTGAAATTATGAGAACATAAGCTGGAAAAATACAGGAAATAAAGCTAAATAAATACGGAAACTTCCTTGCATTCAAGAGTAAGTAGAATGAAGTTTTGTTGAGTAATATGGAGAAACAATAAGTCTGATCAACACAAAAAAGTTAAAAGCTTAAGAAGAGTGAGAGCTAGTTAGAGTTAAGCTCTTGGAACTTCTGTTCAAATTCCTGTGCATTTTACCAAGACAGGAGTCAAGTCTGACAAACATTCTGAGATGATAGTGTTTGATAAATAATAGATTTATAAATGATAGAAAGATTAATGATGGTGAGATGATTGGTAGTTGACATATATGTATATATATATATCAGATCAATAAATATAATTATACATGCATGATAGATAATAAAACATATTATATATGATAGATAGGTTGATAGATAAATAGGTAGACAGACAGATAGAGACAAACAGTAATATTAAGGAAAGGAACTATTTCTCATAATTCTGTTGAGGACAGAATAGAAATAGAAGTGTAACAAGAATAAGAAAAAAAGAGGCCATGAAATGGATATGGAGTAAGGGACGAAAGGGGAAAGGGAAAATAATATAATTATATTTGAATCTTAAATCAAAAAATATTTAGAAAAACAAAATTAGACAAGACAGACTAGAAGACAATGCCTTCCAGGATATTCAGTGGGAGAATTGGGACACCATCCCAGCCACACAACCTTTGACCTACAGTCTATCCTGCCTATGGGATGTGCTTGGAAAAGGGTTTGCAGCAATTATGGGAGTAGCCAACTAATGACTAGTCCTATATGAGTCCCATGTCATGAGAATGAGCCCATCACTGACACTGTATTGAGTGTCAGGGCCCAGAGGCTGTATGGCCCAGAGATCTAAGACAGAACCAAACACAACTTTGAGGAAAAATGTCAATATAATGATATCTAACAATATTCTGCTATACTCTGATTGTAGATTACCCCAATTGTCATCAGAGAGCCTTCATCCAGTAGCTAATTAAAACAGATGCGGTGACCCACAGCTAAACATCACCCTAAGTTATTATTTACTCAGGTAGTATATATCCTTCTGGAGTCTTTGATGGAGTTGAAGATGAAATAGGTATAGTTTTCCTTACTTATGATAAAAGCTAAATTAGGTACAGAACTTTGGGTTCACTAAGATAGTATACATTATGGAGTGCTTTTTCCAAAATTGAAAAATAAAAAAGGACTGAATATTATGAGTGTAATTCTTACATGATAATTGTTCTTATCATATATAGTGTCACTGTGTTAGAGTTAAACCCTTTACTTTTTATTTAGGCAAAAATAATGGAAATGTACATTGTGAAGACATGCCTTTCCCAAGGCACCTTCTTATTGGTTTAATTTAAAAAAAAAAGGAAATGGCCATTAGCTAGGCAGGAGGTGTGGGTGGGACAGCCAGATCCAGAGGTCACTGGGAAGAAGAAAATTGAGGTCACCAGGTGACACAGAGGTGTTAGAAGACAGGTATGTCTGCAAGCCACATGACAATATGTAGATTAATACAAATGGGTTAACTTAAAAAAGGAGAGCTAGTTAGAAACAAGTGTAAGCTCTTGACCAAGCTCTCATAATTAATAAGAAGTCTCTCTCTTGTTATTTGGGGCCTGGCTGGCTGGACAGAACAATCCACCTACAGTTTTGTTGCTTGGTCTACTTGTGAGACTCCTAACAGTGGGAGCAGGGGCTGGATGTACCTAATGCTGTGCCTGACTTTGGGGAACCAAGTCCTCATACTAGGTTGCCTTGCCCATCCTTAATAAAAGGGAGGTGTTTAGTCCTTCAGAAACTTGATATGCCATGCTTTGTTGATACCCATGGAGGCCTGCCGCTTTCTGAACAGAAACAGAAGAGGAGTGGATGGGAGAGAGAGGAGGAAAGGGGAAGGGTAGAATAAGGGAAGGTATGTGAAATAAGTAAATAAACTTAATTAAAAAAAAAAGAAATCAATGCCTGCATGCCTAGTACTGAGGAGACTGTGGAAAGATGATATTCAAGAACAAGCTAGGTTGCAAGGCAAAATCTTCTCAAGGATCCCCTGACAGAGACAGAAAGACAGACAAAGACACAGAGACAGAGGAGAATAATAAGTATGAGGTGAGTGAAAGAATTAATAACTCAATGGAGGCAAGACGTAAAATACATGAGTATTTTATATGAATATGTTTATACCATGTACAAAGATTCAATAATCTCCAAACATTAAGTAAAGTTTTGAGGTTGTCATTGGATAGCTGCATAACACCGCAGGAAGTTAGGTCCAGCTGTACCCATGTCTTACTTAGACCTCACATCTAGATAATGATGAAAAGCACTTACATGTGTGTTGAATCGGCTTTACTTTCCTCAGTAGGTAAAGAGACTTGCGTTGAGTCTGAGCATGACTCCTCTTTAGAAAATAAAGGATTTATTTTCATTCTTTCCTCTTGACTTTTACTTTCTATTAAATTAGCATCTCTTGTAGGAAAAGAAAAATAGTTTTCAATATCCCAATGGCTTGCCTAAAAATGAAAATATATTTACTTTCATAAAATTCATTTTCACCTAGCATTTATGCTTTTCAAGATTAGCAAATAAACTCTCATTGATATTTACAAACAAAAATGACCAAGACCAGCTGTGATCTTAGTCTTGTAACAGAGATGACATGCATATGACTTTTGTAAGGGTAGAAGATGAGCTGCTCCATAAGAAAGAAACAAAATGTATCCAATGAAATTATAATGAACAATAAAATAATTGCCATTATAATTTTAGTACCTGAAGTAAAAGAAGGTAAAAATATGGGAAAGCATTTTGTTAAAATTTTTATAATTAATTTTGCACTTTCTCTTCACACAAATTTTTAAGTGGCCTCAGAAACAAACCTAGTTATTAAATCTTCCCAGAAAAAATGGCTATGGTAGTTGTCATGGGCTTTGGCTACAATGATTTATACAGCAATAGCTCTGTGAGTCCACACGTGCATCAGTCCTGGTGTGTTTGGAAAGCACGGTTTCCTTGATGTCCTCCACTCCCACTAGCTCTGACAATCTCCCTGCCTCTTCTTCTTCAGAGTTCCCTGAGCCCTAAGGGGAGGATTTTGATGGAGACATCCCATTCAGGATTGAGTATTCCAAAGACTCTTGCTCTCTACACATTGGCCAGTTGTGGATTTCTGTATTTGTTCCCACCAACGGCAGAGGAAGCTTCTCTGATGATGGCTGAGCAGGACACTGTTTTATAAGTTTCTGTTAGAAGACAGAAACTGTAAGTGAGTCACCACAATTAGATATTGTCTTTATAAGAATCGCTGTGGTGATAACGTTTCTTCACAGCAATAAAAAACCTAAGACAGTGTGTCATAGAAGCATTGGGATTTGAAACCTTGGCATCAATCACAGTCTGTAATTTTGACATCAGACTAGACTTTTACATTTTTCCTGACTTGAGCAGACTTTACTTTTCACAACTTTAATCCATCATTGAACGCTTGCCAGGTAATAGAATGTTAGTTTGGTCTCTGCAATCACTCCCATTTTTTTCCCACAGGAAGCCTCTCTGGACAAGGGAACTATCTATGATTATAGTTGAATATCATTAGGAATCATGTCTTCATGTCTTTTTCTTTTTCTTCCTCTTTTTCTTTTTCTTCCTCTTTTTCTTTTTCTTCCTCTTTTTCTTTTTTCTCTTTGTCAGTCATATTTGGTTCTACCCTAAATTTCTAGACGACCCATTCTCTGGCTCCTGAGGATCAAGGCAGTACAGGGCATGGGCTCCCTCTTGTGGAGCGGACCCCAAGTTGAACCAAACATTACTTGGCCCTCACACCTGTTCTCTACCACCATGGCCCCAGATAATCTTTCAGGCAGGACAGACTGTAGGTCGAGGATTTCGTGGCTGGATTGGTGTCCAGGTTTTTTCTTTCTATAGCCTGCAGAGCACCTTCTCACGCGAAGGAGATTAAAACGAAGGATCCAAATTGGCACCAGCTTGACCTCTGTACATTCAATGGGCTCTGCGGATATGGTCGGCAATGGGGTCCCGTTGTCAGTTTTCAGAGAGAAACCTTCTATCCTAGCGAAAGCCTGGAGTATTTACTGGACTCCAAGGGACCCCTCAGTCAACAACTTAACTGAATGCAAACCGGTCCCACTGGAAGCCTTCTCTGTCTACAAAAGATGGCCAGTGCAGACTCCATATCCTCCGTTACTAGGAGCCCTCACTGGAGTCACCCTCATAGATTCCAGGAAGTTTCCACTGCACTAGGTTTCCACATATCCGTCCACAGTGGTCCCTGATTCCACCTGTCTCTTCCCACACTCTCTCCTTCCCACATGCTCCCAGTTCATCTTCAAAATTTACTGTACTTCTGCTTCCCAGGGAGGCTCATGCCTCCCCCCTCCCTCCCCACGCCATCCTCCCCCGCTCTTCTTTTTACCTAACCCTCTGGTTCTGCGGATTGTAGCTTGCTTATCATTTATTTTTTAATGGCTAATATCCACTTATAAGTGAATGCATACCATGTTTATATTTCTGGGTCTGAGATACATCCCTAAAGATGATTTTTTTTCTAGTTGCATCCATTTGCCTGCAAATTTCATGATGTTATCTTTTTATGGACTGAGTAATACTTCATTGGGTAAATGTACCAGATTTTATTTATTTTTTCTTCTGTTGAGGGACATATAGGTTGTTTCCATTCTCTGGATATTATAAATAAACGTGTCTGTTTTTATGCTAATACGTGGCCGTCTTCATTACTATGGCTCTATATTCCAATTTGAAATCAGTGATGGTGATACTTAGAGCAGATCTTTAATTGTTTGGGATTATTTTATCTATACTGGGTTTTTTTTTTGGTTTTATGAGACAGGGTTTCTCTGTATTGTTTTGGAGGCTGTCGATCCAATCCAGCCTCGAACTCACAGAAATCCGCCTGCCTCTGCCTCCCGAGTGCTGGGATTAAAGGCGTGCGCCACCACCGCACCTGGCTATACTGGGTTTTTTTGAAGTTGAGAATTATCCTTGTAAGTTCTGTTAATAATTGTGTTGGCAGAGACAGCTGACCTGAGCTGGGAGCTCAAACTCTGAACTGGAGAGCCTGCATGGGACCTACCTACGCTCTCTGCATGTGTGTGACAGTTGTTCAGCTTGCTCTGGTTGTCTGGCCCCAGCAGTGGGATCAGAACCTTTCCTTGGCACTTGAACTGGCCTGTGGGATTCTATTCCCCGTGCTGGGTTACCTCAGCTTTCCAGCATGGGAGGAGTTTGATCCTGCCTCAACTTGGTGTGTTGACACCCATGGGAAGTCTGCTCTTTTCTGAGTGGAGATAGAGAAGTAGAGGGAGGGGATGTAGACATGAGGTAGGAGAGGTAGCAGAAGGAGGAGGGAGAAAGAACTGTGGTTGGTATTAAAATAACTGAAAAATTATTTTTAAGAAAGTTGTGTTGGAAATTTGACAGCAATTGGATTGGATCTGTAGATTGCTTTTGGTAGGATGGTCAATTTTTACTATGTTTATCCTACCAATCCATGTGCATGGAATATCTTTCTATCTTCTGATATCTTTCATTTCTTTCTTCAAAGACTTGAAGTATTTTTATCAGATAAATCTTTCCCTTCTTGATTAGAGTTTAACCCAAGATACTATTTTGTGGAATAATATGAGGAGTACTGGATTTAATTTTTTTAAATATGAGCTAAAAACCATTTGGCCCTGGGTTTTGGGGGGTTAGAAGAGTTTTAATAACTACCTCTATTTCACTAAGGGTTGTAGGCATTTAAATTGCTTATCTAACTGATCTTGACTTAACTTTAGTAAGTGGTAGCTATTGAAAATTTGTACATTTCTTTAGATTTACCATTTTGACAGAGTGCAGGCTTTTAAGTATACCCTTCTGATTCTCTGTATTTCCTGGGTGTCTTGCCACCTTATCATTCTTGACTTTGTTAATTCAGTTATTCTATCTTGTTCTTTTAGATGTTTGGATAAGAGTTTGTCTATCTTGTTGATCTTCTCAAAGAAGCTACTCTCTTTCATCAATTGTTTGTTTTGTTCTCTTTGTTTCTAGTTTACTCATTTCAGGCCTGAGTTTGATTATTTTTTTTGTCATCCGCTCCTCTTGGGTGTGCTTACTTGTTTTTGTTCTAGAGGTTTCAGATGTACTGTTAAGTTTCTAGAATGAGATCTCTCTATTTTTTAAATGAAGGCACTTAATGCTATGCAATTTCCTCATATCACCACTTTCAAAGTATTCCTTAAGTGTGAAGAAGCCATATATTAATTTTCACCAAATTCTAGAAACTCTTTAATTTCTTATTTACTTCTATCTTAACTCATTTCTTTCATTCAGTAAAGATTCAGGTTCCATGAGTTTGCAAGGTTTCTGTTATTGTTGATGGCCTGCTTTAGTGCCTAGTGATATAATCGAATGTGGGAGTTATTTCAGTTTTTTGTATGCGGTCCATTTTGGAGAAAGTTCCATGAGGTACTGAGAAAAGGGAATATTATTTTGTCTTTTTGTGAAATGTATATACTTGTTTGGTCCATTTTGTTTATAATGTCAGTTAGCTGCAGTATTTCTGTGGTTAGTTTTCACCAGGATGACCTGTCTATTTGCAAGAATTCAGTATTGACCTCGCCCACTATTGTTGAAAATCAATATGAGATTGAACCTATAGTAGTGTGATTTTTATAAACTTGTTTGCCCTTATGTTTATGGCACAGAATTTATGAGCTGAAATGTCATCTTCCTAGAATTTTCCTTTGATGAGTATGTAGTATCCTTTCCCATCGATTTTGATTAGCTTTGTTTGAAGTCTATTTTGTTACATGTATTTTTATTTAAATTAGAAAAAAAGCTTGTTTCACATTGTTTCACATGTCAAACCCAGCTCCCTCTCTGTCCCCTCCTCCCCCACCATTCCCAACCCCCCAACCCCCACCCAATCCCCACTCCACTCCCCTGGGATGGTGCGGCCCTCCATGGGGGAATCTCCAAAGTCTGTCATTTCATCTAGAGCAGGTCCTAGGCCCTTCCACATGTATCCAGCCTGAGAGAGCATCCTTCCATGTGGAATGGGCTCCCAAAGTCCATTTCTATGCCAGGGATAAACACTGATCTACTACCCCAGGCCCCATAGATTGCCAAGGCCTCCTCATTGACACCAAAATGTGGGGGGTCTGGATAAGTCCCATGTTGGCCTCTCAGCAATCAGTCTGGGGTTCATGAATTCCCCCTTGTTCAGGTCAACTGTTTATGTGGGTTTAACCAGCCTGGTCTTCACCCCTTTGCTCATCACTCCTCCTTCTCTGCAACTGGTTTCCAGGAGTTCAGTTCAGTGTTTAACTGTGGGTGTCTGCATCTGCTTCCATCAGCCACTAGATGGAGACTCTAAGATAGCATACAAGGTAGTCATCAGTCACATTATTGGGGAAGGGTATTTAAGGTAGCCTCTCCACTATTGCTTAGGTTGCCAGTTGGTATCATCCTTGTAGATCTCTGAAAATCTCACTAG